CTGATTTCTTCCCTTTCCCTTCGTCTCTTCGATCTCTAATTCTTCTCCTCGATCCCTTATTTCTTCTCTGTTCTAATACTCTAAGTATTTACTCTAAATCTACGGGCTGTTCTACATCAATTGGTAATCAGAGCCTACCCTCACTTTCGTTTTGCGCTTGCTCTCTCCTATGGCCCCCCAAACCGTGGCCAGCCTTGCGGAACAATGTCGTGCATTCCAAGACAAGGTTTCTGACGACATCGCTGGCATAGAAACCCAGCTCTCCAAGCTCAGCACTGACATCAAAGAACATCGTGCGACGACAGACCTCGCCATCGCCAAACTCCAAGACTCTGTTCAGTTGCTTATCAACAACTTTCGGACTGGACCTGCTGAACCTTCTACTTCAGCGGTTTTATCAAGCTCGTCTACGCCACCGCCGACAAGTGGCCTTCTGCCCAATCCACCGATGGATCAAAAACTTAAGACCGTACCATATGGCATGTCGCATGGCTCAACTGGGTCTATGCCACAGCCCCATTATACCCAACACACCACGGGCCCTCCTCCAGTGACTTCTTAAGTTCCGAACTTGCCACCCGCTCCACATGATCAGTACACTCATCCCCCTCGTCCTTTTGACAACGATGTCATCCGCCACATCAAGCCTACCGCTCCTACTTTTGATGGCCGTGGGGATCCTACGATGTTTCTTGATTGGGTTCAGGCCATGGAAGACTATTTCGCCTGGTACGACTTGACGGATGCTCATAAACTTCGCATTGGTAAGATGACGCTACAGGGAGCCGCTAGACAATATTGGAATTCTGTGGAGGAGCAACTATACCAATTTGGACAGCCACCTGTGACTCTTTGGGATGAGATGAAATTAAAGCTTCGTGAACAATATCTTCCCACCTTTTATCGCCAGCAATTGTATGAACAATTATGGACCCTTTCGCAAGGAAGTTTGACCGTTACTGAATTCCACGCTCGTTTTATCGAACACAAGATACGTGTGGGAATTCGTGAAGAACCCGACATCACTATGTCTCGCTTTCTCCATGGTCTTCGTGATGATATCAAACGTGAAGTCCGGCGGTCCCGTCCGCATACTTTAGAAGACGCATATTGCCACGCATTGGAAGCTGAAACTTTTTTGCGTCCACAACGTAGATATACAGGGCATTCTGGGCACTCTTCCACTCCTACTCCAAACCGTAGTACTCCTAACTCTAAATATGGCGTTGCCGGTCCACCTGCTCCTCCGATACCCACAACAGAAAAAGGACCAGCCCCATCCACGGCTGCTCACATCGAATGCTATCGATGCCACGCTCAGGGCCACATCGCCTCCCGTTGTCCCCACAGAACTTTAACCCTTGGCTCCCTCGATGAGGACTCTTGTGTGGACGAGTATGTGGAGCCCCTTGAACCTGTTTATGATCCAGACCTTGATAATTGTTGTGAGGAGGAGGCATTTCACCAACTGAGTGTTATGCGTTGTATTTATTCCGCACCTGCATCTCCACCTCCTGATTCATGGAAGCGCACAAGTATCTTTCAAACCTCTGTCCCTTGCGGTACCAATAGATGCCAACTAGTTATTGATGGGGGAAGTACGCTGAATGTTATCTCTAAAACTGCTGTCAATCGCCTTCACCTTCAGGCCGAGCCACACCCCCATCCTTTTCATGTTGGCTGGGTAGATAAAACCAGGTTACCTGTTACCGAAAGATGCCTTGTTCCTCTTCAATTGGGTCCCTGTCACGAGCAACTTTATTGTGATATCCTACCCATGAGTGTCGCACATGTGCTACTAGGTCGACCTTGGCTTTATGACCGTCATGTGAAAAGTTGCGGCAGAGAGAACACCTATACTTTTCAACATGAGGGAAAGAACATCACGCTCAAGCCTTCCAATCCGGCCATCAAACCAACTAAGGATGGTCAGCCAACACTGTCAATGAAAGAGAAGGCTTCGGAGCATCGATTAAGTATTTTATCACCTATAGACTTTGCAAATGAACTGCAAGACACTGGTGTGGTCTTTGCTCTCTTGCTTAAACCGGCATCTGATTGCACCCCCACTCCACTTGCCGAACCCATACAACATCTGCTCACTGAATTCTCTGATGTCATACCTGATGATTTACCAGATGACTTACCTCCAGCAAGAGAGATTCAGCATGCCATTGACCTTGTTCCTGGTTCGCAGATTCCTAATCTTCCCCATTATCGTATGAACCCACCTGAGCGAGCAGAGTTGAATAGACAAATTCGGGGGTTGTTGGCTAAGGTCTTTATTCATCATAGTTTAAGTCCTTGTGCTGTTCCAGTTCTCCTTACCCCCAAAAAGGATGGCTCCTGGCGAATGTGTGTAGATAGTCGCGTCGTCAATAGAATTACAGTTAAGTATCGTTTCCCCATACCGCGACTTGAAGATATGTTGGATGATTTGGCTGGTTCCCAATGGTTTTCTAAGATAGAACTTCGCAGTGGCTACCATCAAATCCGCATTCGTGAAGGAGATGAGTGGAAAACCGCGTTTAAAACCCCTGATGGCTTATATGAGTGGCTTGTTATGCCCTTTGGCATGTCCAATGCACCCAGCACGTTCATGAGGGTGATGACTCATGTGTTACGACCTTATATTAGCAAATTTCTGGTAGTTTATTTTGATGACATACTTATCTACAGTCGCTCTCGGGAGGAACATCTTCAACATCTTAGGACAATATTCCTTACTTTACAAAAGGAAAAACTGTATGCCAACTTAAAAAAATGTTCGTTTCTTCAACCGCAAGTTTTATTCTTGGGATTCAATATTTCTGCGGCTGGGGTTAGCACAGATCCTGCCAAGGTGGAGGCTATTAGTGGTTGGCCAACACCCACGACTTTGACAGAGACACGTAGCTTTCATGGTCTCGCCTCTTTTTATCGACGATTTATTCCAGGGTTCAGTACTATTATGGCACCAATAACTGATTGTATGAAACAAGGTGCTTTTCTTTGGACCCCAGCGGCTGCCAAGGCCTTTACAATTTTAAAGCAGAAGATGACCCAAGCACCTGTTCTTCGACATCCTGATTTGACTAAGGTCTTTGAAATCGCATGTGACGCTTCCGGAGTTGGGATTGGTGGTGTGCTTAGCCAAGAAGGACATCCCGTAGCATACTTTAGTGAGAAGTGGCTACTATTTTGCACACAATGACAGTTCAGGTAACTGGGTTTGATCGCATTAAGACTGAGTATTCATCTTGTCCGGATTTTGGAATTATTTTTCAAGAAGTTTCCAATGGTAACCGTCGCGAGTATGTGGACTTTATTACGAGGGATGGGTTCTTATTTCGAGGAACACAATTATGTATTCCCCGTACTTCTCTCCGTG